GAACTTTAATTTCTTTCAATTAAAGCCTAAATTAACTTAAAAATCAAATTTTCTTGCAATCAAACCGTATATAAATTCAATTAAACCTTTAATAAAATTTAATTGAATCCATAAACAACTGATTTTTAAACTTTTCTTTATTAAATTGAATTTTCTTTGTTAATAGGGCTCTCATCAGTCAATAAAAGACCGTCAAATTTCAATCTTTGTATTTTTGAACCTACTCAACCAATTTTTGATCATTTTCTGAGCGTTCTGGCATCCTCTTTTTATTGTTATATTTTTTATAACATTTTTTATTTTTTATATTTTTTGAAGAGAGAAAAAATATGAATTGAAAAATAACTCAAAAATAGGTTATGACAAGAATCATATAAAATAATTTAAGTGTTAGGAATGTGAGTTTAGAAAACTAAATTACTATTTAAAATTGTAGGCATTCCACATTATATTTATATTTCTTGTCTTTGTACACATGAGCATAACAGAGTTAGGCAATGATATATTGTTGAAATCAACCTCTCACATTATTAGGACAGGCTTCTCTTTTATAAAATTTTTGGTCATATGACTTTTAAATTGTTATTTTTCTCATCAACTAAATAATTATACCAATTCTTCAACATCAAGCTCTTTTTTCAAAACTTTTGAATGACAACCTAATTATGCATTTTTAAAACTTATGGTTCTAGTTTCTATGTACATATAGAAAAATAAACTTGTCTTATCTTTCTTAGTTATAATTTGAATAACCTAAGATATCATTGCATGAATATCTCTACTCCTCAAAATTCATTGTCTGTTATTGTATGTTCCATTAGTCTTCATTTTCTTATGTCAAGTCCATTTTATTAATTTCCTCTTCCTTATCATAACTCTTGCCTTCATATCCTCAAATTTTTTTAATTTTCATAGATTAAAATCTTGCATTTACCTTATTATCTCATCTTTCTATGCAATTTTTTGCATCACTTTCTTTACTTTTTTTCTATTTCTTCTTTTATTCCTTGATTTTCGAAGGAAAAGTTCTTTTATATATGAAAAATAAAGTTCTCCTAACTTCTCTAATCATGATTTTTTTCAAAAAAAAGACTTTTTTTTCAAAATCACGCATACATAGAGTCTCTTGCTATCATAGATTAATGGGGGAATTGGTCACACTATCAAACCCTATTACTAGAATATTATAATCATCTAACAATATCAATGGATGTCAATTCCTTTCAAATAAGAAGATAGACACTTAAATTATTTATTTAAATAACACATTCTTTCATATCTAAAGACATAAAACTCTCACTCAGAGAGAAAAACATACCTACAAATCAAATCAAAAAAATCATACGCTTATAGTAGAAAATAAATAAAAGGATGTGAAAATTTTCATCCATGTATATAAATAATAAAAGGTGGTTGCCACATGCTCTTGTTAGCCGATGGTAACTCAAACTAAAGTTTAAAAAAAGTGTTTTATTGAGAGAAAACACTTGGTGAACTTGTTTCTTATATATGTGATGGGTTGAAATTGTTAAATATATGTACAAATATATACTTGCATACAAATTTTTTTTTATCTATGATGATAGTATTGTGATAAATGAGCTTTTTATAAATTACTATTTGATGATTTGTTGAGGTTTTGTATTTAAATCTCACCTAGCACAACTTGTAATTAATGACATTTATGTCTTCATACATGATTGTAACCTATTTAAAGCTCTTTTTTATGTTTCAAAAATATTTTAAAATTTTTTAATTTTTTTGTTTTTTTCTTTACTTTAAATTAATTTTTATTTGTATTTTTAGAATATTTTAATATACTGATGTCAAAAATAAATTTTAAAAAATAAAAAAATATTATTTTAATGCATTTCCTAGCGAAAAATACATTGAAAAGCAACTACTACCTCATGTTTAGAGTGTTTGTTTTTTAGATATTTTTTGTGGTTGTGACTTGAAAAAAATAAATTTAAAAAAATCACTTTTAATTGTAGTTGGTTTAATTTAAATATATATTTGGTTAAAATTATAGTTAAAGTTGCTATATATATATATATATATATATATATATATGAAAAAGCTATTAGGTGAATCTCACAATAAAAGGATGATATTCAATGTTTTTTTAACCATGGGTTGGAACTCTTTTTTTTATTGATCTCACCAATTCAGCCACAACTTTTTTTTCATGGATGTCACCAATTGAGCTTCTATTTTATTTTATTTTTCTTATCAAACAATAAAAAATTGTGATGCCTTCAAAACACTAAAACCATCATAAAAATAAACATATTTTTAGAAATATCCTAAACTTTGAATTCAACATAAATATGAAAGGAATATTTTTATATAAAAGGGTGGAATGATATAAAATAATATATTTTATGAAAAAAATATGGGATAACCTTCACATCTTTGCATCTAATGCAAAAATAAATAAAGTAGTAACAAAGGCTACAGTCTACGGATCCTAAACAAAACAAAGTAATTAACAAGCTACATTCATACGCAAGCTCAAAAGGTAGAGACAAGTCACCTCTATACGGACGTGCCTCTACCTCCCCTCTCCCCACAAAAATGAATAAAATAAAAGATTATCGAATTATTTTGCTGATGCAAATAAAGAAAGACGTTGTGAGAGACGTCCAGGCAATTGACTTTTGTGCTAATATAACCGTGATTAGAGCGGAACTCTAGCAGTAGTAGCATGTACTAACATACGATCAGAGTGCCAATTATTGCAAAGAAAGAGCAAACAATGGTGTTCATCGCGCTACCTCGCCTAGAGAGATCGTGTGTTACCTCTCAGTGCCTTCCTTTAATTATTTAATATTATATAAGTTAACCTCATTTCGTTACACTTAGAGATAAGATTAGTTGAAATATTAATTAATTTCCTTGAAAAATGAAAACCCAAGAACGATGTGACACATGTTGACTTTGTTATATTCCATTGGTTGACTAATGCTAAACCTAGCTAGCAAGCTAATATATGCTCACAGCATCCTTTGAATGAGAAACAAGGAGTTGATCAACCTATAATAATACATAACTAGCCCTCTGCATGCACTTTTTGTAAAATAACGCAGAAACGCCACAAACAGACGCAGTTGCTGAGCTCAGGGTGGGTGCTCTCCCCATGCCCCTTTCTCCAAGTTAATTACGGGCAATTGTCAACCCTCATTAATTTTTCTTTCCTTTTTTCCTTCTGGTAACGAACCAATATCGCTGTTGGCATCCAAGAAATTGACCCGGCTCTTATCACTTGGCAATGCCAATCATGTCATAATAATCTTTTTAAGAAATCAACAGCAAGAAAACGATCCATTTGATCATAAGGTGATGTCAACAGTGAGAATGCACAGCTTACAGTGTAAATATGTAGACAGAAATTACATTAAGAATGCTGTGGAGATTAAGCTCGTTTTGGAATTTGGAAAATGATAGCTCTCTCGTGGTAAACAAACAGAAGACAAAACAAAAACAACAAAAAATATTACGAAGAAAAGAATCAATCAGACTTCCATAACCCATGTTGATGGATTCATGTTTTCTTTCATGAAAGATACAAATAAAGAAAAGACTCGACTACAATTTGTTTCCCGTTTTGGTTAGCATGCCCTAAAACGAATCAGAATATGACAACAACAAAATCTGAAACCTAATAATATTCTGATTGGTCTTTCTTTGGTGCCGTGGGCAAGAAATTAACCCTTTTATGGTCTCTAGCTACCAGATGCAATTTCCTAGAGAAAGAAAATAATGCTGTCGGCATCTCACGGGCAAGTACAAAGTTTGACCTGTCAAGAAAGTCGACGCCATAGCCGTCTGTTAGGTATAACATAAGGAATTTGAGAGTAAGGTGGGGGGTGATGGTGTCACAGAATTTGACCCAATTGATCTCCCCTACCAAGAGTGTGTTTGTCTTTCTTGTGGCTTTAGTATTTTGAATGCACCATGAATTTTATTATTTGGTAACAAACAAAAAAATTGTGGTGGAATTGTTGGGAACCATCCAAAAAAATAAAAAAGAGTTTCAACATGTGGTTGGGAATAAACATTGGATACTAGCTTCTTTCTATGGGATTCATGAAATAGCTCTTTCATCTTCTTTTTTAAAGTATTTTTTTTTTTACTAAAGAATAATTTCAATCATGATTTTAATTAAATAAACATTTAAATCAAACCAACCATAACTAAAAATAATTTTTTTAATTTATTTTTTTATTTTTTTTAAATTACAATCACAAAAAACTATTGTAGAAACAAACACATTCTAAACCAAAATGTAGGTTTTGATGTCATTCTTGTGCTACATAACTCGGTTGTTTTAATCATTAGCAAATTACTCATTTATCAATTATGGACACTTTTCTTAGTCATTATATCTTATGGAAGGGTCCAAAGGTTAAATTTAATTAAAGAAAAATAAGGTTAATTATCATCTAATCAAACATGAGTTACGGTTGGACCCACAAATTCGCCCTAGATCGAGTCTTTGGTCTGAGATCTCACACTCTTTAGTCTTGCGTTTGGATAGCATTAGACTGGGGTCTCAATGATGCTAAGCAAAATGAAAGAATTCTATCGAGCGAACCCATTCCAATCGTTCTCGAACCTAGATTGGGAGGGGCTATCCGAGCCTCTCAATATGAAAATCTCAAGGTCTTCAAAAGGATTTTGGCCAAGCATCTTGATCGAGATGTTTTCCTATTTGTGCTGTTCTAATGTCAAACTCCAAGATAAACCTTGCCGAACAACGGGTACCTTTCAAGCATAACAATTTTCCATGCCCTGAACCCTACATGCAGGCTCTGGGAATGAACTTAAGCTGGAAGCACCTTCACATGCATCCTACTTATGTAGGCCTGCATTAAATATTCACGTAAGGCTACAAAACAATGACCCAGAACTTTTTTGGTTTTCCAATTCAACTTCATAAAAAGCCAGTGCATGTAATGGTTGACTCTCGGATTTTCAAGAACTAGATGGATGAAATGAAGCAAAATCAAAAGAAACAATTCTCAGGCTTCATGAACTTGTACCTGGACATATCATCGCAAGGATACATAATGCAAGTATTTCCTCAAGTGATTATCATATACATTTTACATCTCCAGACCATATATTGAACTTCAGTTCTGTTCATAACAGATAGTTTCAAGTTCTAAGCATTATGCATCATAATCGCTCACAAGATAAAGCTCGGACTCTTTAATTACGATTTGACTTGTATATACACGCCCTTCCTCGTAAAAAAACTTGGGTCCAACATCAAATAATAGTAGAAATTGCCCAAGGTAAAATGACTTTGATCGATCCAAACAGGTAAAAAAAACCTGCATTGACACCAGGTAATTCATGTGAAAGGAGTGAACCAGAATTATTTGACAAAAGAAAAATAGCTTTGCCAAAGCTGAAAGGATAACTTACATTCCGCTTGTGCATCCACAGCTCTTCGTATTATGTAAGCCTCGAGGTAAAATCCAGTGTGCTTGTAACTGCACTTTGAAAAGAACAATCCTAATTCATAGCAACATTAAATAAAAGCTTGATAAGGTTGCATAATAATAATATTAGCCTGTAAATATTTGAGAACTCGTACGGTGACATGACATTAATCGGAGAAATCTTTCTATTCATTTATTTATTTGCTTGTATTTCCCCCTTTTCTGCCACAATGATAGTCAAGAAATGAAAATTGACCGCCTCAGAGCTGGAATTATTTCACATTGATTGCAGCAGCCATGTTCCTCAGTTTCCGAGAAATCTCTGAGAATGATGGTCTCTCCGATGGATCCGAGGCCCAACAACTTTCCATCAAAGACTTCCACTCCGGATCACACCATGTGGGAATTTGAGGTCGTAATGTGTTGTTCACAATTCCTCCTACGAATCAGAAGGAAGAAACGAGCAAACAAATCACAATCAAATGTGCAAATAAATCAAAGAATAATTTGACTTAATAAAAGAATACATTTCATTCACTACATCAATTGATGAGTTTGAAACAGATTTCAAAAACCTATGCCACAAACATTTGGGCAGCCAGATGAAAAATGGTGGAGAGCACCAAAAAATTAACAAGAGCTTAAGATGAAGAATATACATTAGCATTCAATATTTCTTAAAAACTTGTCCACTTTTCAGTTTAGGTTGTATGGTTATTTTAATCACACCAAGGCATCTTAGAGGTCATGCTGCTCCATCTATTTAGAAACCCATATCTTTCTGCTGCCAAGAATTATGAGACTAAAACATAGTCTAATTGATAGTCAACAGTCAGCCACCAACACAGGATGCATGATGGACCAATGAAAAACAGCCCTTACTGAAAATCAATCAGCTTTAGCTCAATATTGTTAACATATCCTAATTTAAAAGTACTGGAAATCCATGGTCTATCCTATGAAAATCCAGCAGTCAAAATTCAAGAACATCCAAGTCCCCACATGCAATTAAGGAAATGCAAAATCCAGGAGCTAGGGTGCTTTATGATGTAGTAAAAAGGCATTATCCAGAGTATTAAACTGAGGAGGTTGAAATGGAAAAATAAAATTGGAGAAATAAGGAATCTAAAATCCCTGTTAGACTGAAAGGTGACTATCCCATAAAAAGTAAAAAGCACAAAAGCCAGAGTCAAACATAAATAAATGGAGCTTAACTAAAATGAGTTTTAAGGTGAAAGTTAAATGAGCAAAAAGACCGGATATGAAATGAGTGTGAGTATAGAGGTGGTGGTGACACTCAACGAGAATAAATTGAGGGAGAACCATATTAGTTGGTTTGGCCATGCTCATGAAAGGCACTTGGATGAACAATGTAGAAGAATTGAGCAGCTCCTACAGCATCCTTGCATCCACACAGAGCAGCTGCTGCACTTCAAGGGCTTTTAGGGTATTTCCCTGACTGATATCCTAAGAAATTCAAACACTCTGTAGTTGTCAAAAAAAATTTCTTGTTCTTCTTTGTCCATTTGGTGGTCTCTTATCTCCAATTTTAAAATTATGTTCTTTTCTCATTGATACTACTAGTTTTATCTAAAAAAGAATTAAGCAGCAAACTTTCCAGAACAATTCACAACACCATACCCTCTTGCATCCAAGATTTTGACCCGTCATAATTCCAAATGTGTTTGAGTTTGTAATATTAAGCCTGTAATAGGATATAACCCAGTTTCCATTGGCTTTCCTGATTCTTATCACTAATACAATTCTTTAGGGAAAAATGTAGAGCACAAAAAGAATCATGGTTGATTAATGTAAAAGTATCCATGCTCCACAGTGATATGATTATCCTAACCTACATGTTAACAGCAATTCAGATTCGAAGTCCTTTAATTTACACTCTGAAGAGGAGGACATCTGAAATCCCAGGTTAAAAGAATCTAATCGTATATCCATGTGTTGATAAACAACACTTTCCTAGAGGAAACAAATTATATTGCTATCAATATGCTTATCCAGCATACAAAAACATTGATGCTTACCAATTATGGAGGCACAGTGCATGTCAGCATAAGGTTCTTCTCCCGTAAGTAATTCCCACATAACAATCCCAAATGAGTAAACATCAATCTACAACACAAGACAATACATGTTACTTAAACTACCAAAGAAAGGAAAATAAGTTATGGCATTTCTATTCGAGCATAATGTTACCTTCTCTGTTACCATGTGGTTCTTGCCACTCAAAAGCTCAGGTGCCATCCAGGGCAAAGTTCCACGAACACCACCTGAAACTAACGTGTGTTGTTTCACCTTTGACAAGCCCAGATCACCAATCTAAGAATGTTTGTGTTAGATGCCAGACTCAGGCCATTCAGATATGATCACCATTATGAGAAGACAATAACGTACAACTTTCTATCTCACATACCTTGCAAACTGGCCTTTGCGGATCTCTCATATTTACTAACAGGTTCTCACATTTCAAATCAAAATGAACAATGTTCTTCCCATGCAAATACTCCATTCCAAAAGCAGCATCCATAGCTATGATGAGTCTTTTACGACGATCAATGGTTCTGTTCAAGATATGACAGTGTCACAGATTCTTCATACTCAGAATGTTTGTTTGTATAATGTCTTTTTGCCCCTTGTAATTAAGTTTTACTTGTAAAGCATGTTTAATTCATATCTGATAAAGAATAAGAACTCTTCTAAAAACAAGAGATTGAATATTCAAAAATGCAAAATCATGACATCACCAATAGATTGGTTACCTGTCCTTCTTCTGCAAAAACTGTTTCAGAGATCCATTAACCATAAACTCAGTAACAGTTGCTAATGATCCATCAGGGCCATCACGAACAATACCATAGAAAGAAACAACATTTGGATGGTGCAATGAACTCAATATCAAAGCCTCCTTCCAGAAATCTGCAATCTACAGAAGCAACATAAATGCAAAAATTACCATCAATCACAAAAAATTACACTACATGGTCATCATATTAGAAACTACAATTTGGCATCAAATACAAAGAGATCGATTCCAGCTGATTAATTTCTTATTTAAAATACATGGTATCAACTCTCCAGAAAGATACACCATAAGGTCCTGGCATGAGCCAATATATGCATAAAAAAACAAAGGGGAAAGATGAGGAATAGGAAACCCTCAAGGATCTGGTGAAGTTGTCATTAATAACAGACATGAAGGCATCAAATCTTCTACAACGTATGTCCAAAATACACACTAGAGGTTTAATCTTTCCAGAATTCATACACAAGTATCAAAGAACAATGAAAGAGAAATTCAAAGCAAAATACAAATTTCATGTTATCAAGGTCATGATTCAATCTTCCTTTTCTTTTGACTCAAACAAACTAATTAGCCTCTTTTATAGTTATTCTGAATAAAATTAACTAGCACATAACATTTCCTATTCTGACATCCTTAAGCACAATCCCCTGAAAGGCCACATCCAAAAATTATCACAAGCCTCCCTTGACACTGTTTTACAAGTACCACCAGCTCACACGCACACAAGTGCATGTGCATATATCACATATTATGTCACCCGAGACCAAGTCAATCATCCAGAACAAGGGAATGAAGAATCATCAGAAGGATATGGGTCCTACCAAACGCTCTCTTTCTGAAGGTCTCCCGGCAAAGCAGCTGGCTTTTATTCTCTTTATAGCCACATCAGAACCCTTCCATTTCCCATGATATACAGCTCCATATGTTCCAGATCCTAATTCACGAATCTCCTCCAAATCATCATTTTTTATTGTCTGTGACACAAAATCAATCTATTATTAAAATCGAAGCACAAAAGACAAGAAAGTGTATAGAGCAAGGAACAATAACTAAAATGAATGTGCAGCATTAATACAAAGATGATGTGAATGTGACAACAAACAGGCACCTGCAATCCCCTTTCTATAGCTTCTGCCTCAGCCTTCGTAGGCTCAATTTTGTTGTTTTTTATGTTGTCATTGTCAGATCCCAGCTCTGCTTCTTCATGTGTATTCTGTTAGACATGCAATTCATTAGAAAATAAGATAACACCTTGTAAAATGCTTTTTGAGCAAAAACAAGTTCAGTTCATTCTTACCACAGCTTCAGGCTCCTTATCATCTACTTCTGATATTGAATCATTATTTGCAGGATCAGCATTTTCTTTGACTCTAGCTTTCACCTCTTCAGCCTCTTCCAGTGCAGCCCTCTTTACAGAAGCAATTAAATCAGGTAAGAAACTCATGCGGCTAATTGACAGGTTTGGATCTCCAGGAACAGCAGAAGGATCTCTTTCTCCCGCTTTCACTGTATCACCACTTTCTCCAGCTAACCTCGAGAAATTGGAATTGACAGCCTCAGGAAATGCTGCCTGGCCATGCATATCAGCAATCATGTCCTGATCCAGGCAAGGCATGCATGACACATCCAAGTTTTCAACTTTCCCCACACAATTTGCTTGGTTTTCTACACCAAGAAAGATTGTTCCATCCACTTTTGATGCTTCAGCTACATTGGCATTACTTAACTCTGGGTTATAACCAGAAGTAACTGTATTTACAGATAAGTTTAGCATTTCATGTTGGAGCGGTGGTTGAAGGGGTTCTGGAGCAAACGACTGATTATTTTCTACCCCATTAGCATTTGGATTCAATTTCAACATATGACCGTGAGAATATTCCAAGGAATTTGTCCCATCAAAAACCAGCATTTTCTGTGAGGACTCAGCCCAAGGTTTCTGACAATCCACGCCAATGCCACTCCTTTGACTACCTTCTGCCGTGCCCCTAAGAAACGATGGATTAACAGTACTACTCACATGTGGAGCCGCACCGGATGCTTCATAAGGAGTGCCATGTACTGGAATTTGAGCATTTCTCCATAAAGTCTGTGGATGTGCATGTCCATGTGGCGATGTGTGAAGATTCTCAGATCCATAAACATAAGGAAAATTCCCATACCGTACCGCGCGTTCCTCGGGAGGTGAAATTTGTAGGCTGTGGACAGCAGCCACAGTTTGATCGTGAAACACATCATTACCCAATTCAGGTCCAGGACGGTGATGGGAGGACATATGATGGCCATCTACCAAATTACCATGCCCAGGGGGGTAATTCATGCCAGGACCATCTACAATGTAGTGATCAGTGAATCTTGCAGCTCCAGAGATATGTTTTCTGGCTTCATCAGCGCGGGGACTCAACTGATGCTGCACAATCCATCCGCTTTCATGGTCTTGTGTCTCATTGTAGACAGCTCGTGGATCATTCTGCTCTCTGGGATACACTGGGTGGTGCACCTTCACATCTGCATTTACTATGAAAGCCTCCCTGTTTGGGGGAAAGTCAGCACCTGGATTAGCAACCTGAGGAAGTCCATTTCCCATGCAGAGTTGCTCCAAATGCAGTTGATTTCTTGGGAAAGCCCCCCTGCAGTGCTCACAAACACTGTTCCCTTCCAAAACACTGGGACCGTGCAGCAAGTTACCTGGAAAACCACCCTTATCACCACCTACTACTCCAGCAGGCATCCATACTACATTTTCAGAATACTGTGCCTGGTGATCAAAAGGGGGATGCTGATTTAGCTGCAACCGAGCATATTCTTCAGGCATTCTTTCCATCCCTTTATCGGGTAATTCCCCAAACTGCATACGGTACCGTGCAGAAGGGGGTGAGTTTGGGATCTCTGATAATGGTCTTGGATCATGGTGCCCGTGATGCCTAGGAGAATAATATGCTGGACTCCATGGACCCTCCATCTCATTATACCTAGGAGCAATAGCAACATGATGCAAGTTGTACTGTGATATTGACATCTCACCACTCCTGTGGCTAAGGAGACCACCATCAAGATTCATTCCATTAAAAAACTGTTCTTGTAAATGAATGTCATCAATTGGACCCATCAAAGGGGAATCAGGATGGTGCCTTCTAAAATCAGGCCCCTCGTTCAAATTATTTAGTGCATCCACATACCTTCTTTCACTCTCCCTTCCATCCCCATCAACATAATGGGCTGAACCATCTTGGTCTGTATTCGAAAACAGAAAAATCCTAAGCCTGGTGAAACCATCCCCAGAACCCAATTTCTCATACTCCTCCATCATGTTAATCACATCATCATCATTCACAACCGAGACTAACGCATCAAGATCCTCATCAGGCTGTTGATACTTCAACACCATCGCCCCATCATAAAGCTCTCTCATTTTACTCATCAACTCCTCATAACTAATATCCCTAGGCAAACTCACAATCCGCGTCTCCCCACCTACATAACGCAATTTCCCATCTTGGGGTCGAGGCATTATGCTACCTAAGAAACTACACAGTAATTTAACACGTGGGGTATCATCGTTCGAACCAGGGTTGGAACCAGCTGTGGAATTAGTGGTAGACATTGGTGTATCCATGATGTAGAGACCTTGCTGATTATCAACAGGATTATCAATCTTATTCAAGAATTCAATTCTGTTATTACACATGGAGTGTAACATCACAACACATCAATATTAACAGCTTTCTCAAAATTGAAAGTATAACAACGCAATTCACTGATGATTCTAACAAAGCAAATAACAAACTGATTCTTCATTTGGAAGCTCATAAAAAGCCCCTAAAATCACCAAAATCAGTCATTGCCACTAATTCCAGCAACACCAAAAACAAGAAAAAAGATCCCTAAATTTAAAAAAAAAAAAAAAACTATGTTTATCAATCTAAACCAAGAGGAACTACAGTCATAAACAACTCAAAACATCAAAACGAACCCTCCTTTAAGAACCCAGATTCGGTTCAATAATATGTAAAAGAAAGAAATCCCAGTTCCTAAAATGAAACAAGAAGGTACCTGGTGAACAAATTAAAATAGGAAAACAAGAACTTCCAAGTTTAAAAATTTATGTCTGTTTCTCATAATTGGGTTAGTGGGGTTTCTGTGGGAAGGGAAAACAAAAACAAGGGAAGGAAGGAAGAAAAGGAAGCTAAAAAATGGGGTCTGGAGGAGGGTTGGGTTGGGTTGGTTTGGGTTGCGACTGCGATGATGATAGAGATAGAGAGAGAGAAGGAAGGGGAGATGGCACAATTGCAAGGCAATGGCTGCTTGCCATGTAGTCTCATACGTGGCAGGCACTGCCTGCATTCTCTCCTCTCTCGTGGCATCATTTGTTTGAACTCTAGCACTCCGCTCGCTCTCGCATGCTTCTCGTCCACGCTCTTTTGTCCAGCGTTTGTTTGAGCATCACAAAGAATTTGTTCTTCCTCCCATAAATAATTAAATAAATGGAGTAATTAAGAATGTTACTTTTAGTTCTGGAACATAAGATTCAGTTTGGAGGCTAAATTCTTGAAGTTTGAGGGTGAGAGTGATTGGCATCAAAATAGCGAATATTAGATATCTGGATCTGCTACGACACGAATTGAATTATGTTTTTATGTTAAAAATAACTTATGCATTCTTAAAGTGTTGTAAGTATTTTTTATTTGTAAAATTTTTTTATCATAAATTTATAAATTGAAAACCTAATACATATTATATGATAATTTTTTTACAAAATTTAAAACAGTTATATACTAGGATAATATTTTTTTAATATTAAGATAATGATATATTAAATTGATTTAAATTAATTTAAATTAAATTATTAAACTAATTTTCAATCAACTAAATCTCAATAGATAATATTAAAAAAATATTTAATTTATAAAAAAATAAATCATAATTAACTTAAATTAACTTAGTAAAACATGGCTCAAATCATGCATCTCATTGAATTTAATAACTTTTATTTATGAAATTATCATTCATTCAATTCTAAAACAACTAATTGCCCTCTTTTCAGATCAAATAATAAATTAAAATAAAATAAAAGAACAAAAAAAAAAGATGCATGGGACTAAAATAAATAAAAAAAATTTAGGAAGTGAAAATGCATAAAACAATTTATATAAAAGTTAAAAAGATAATCACATAGACTTGCATTTGGCCTATAAAAACAAATCTTGACTTGCATGTCAAGTTGTTTTTAAATAATCTTATAATCTGGTCTTTAATTAAAAAAAAAAACAAATGATGCAACTTTAAAAACTAGCAATTAGAAGGTTATTGAAAAATTTAGATAGGGAATAAAAAATTATTTCTTTACTTTTTTTTTAACTAGAAGCATCTAATAAATAATCTAGATATTTAAATCAAAAACCAATCTCATTTCAAAAACTTCACAAACCTAAATCCATCATCTCATCTCAAATAATGCAAAGGCTAAAGAATATTTAAGTGAAACTACTTTAATCAAATAAAATTTATTGATAATAAAAATAATTTTTTTAACCAGTGTCAATTAATTATTTTCTCTAAATATCACTGAAATCCAATAACTTTCTCTGTCCTCTGTTAAACCAAAAACTTAAAAATGAAAAATAAAATATTGGACCAAAGTTTAATTATTGAAAACTAAAGGGACCAATAATAAACCATTTAAAAAATAGAAAAATCAAAATGAACTTTTTACACCAACTTTAAAATCACCACATATTTTCCATGTCTTTCTTAATTTGATCCATTGTCTCTTAATCTTGTCTTTTCCTAACAAATTAGAAACAATTGGCCATTAATTTAACCGTTTAGGGATCAAATTGTAAAGAAAAAAACATAGCAGTGTTGTAATTTATAGTGTTTGTCTAGACCTACCCTAACTTCTATATATATATATATATATATATATATCGAATTGTAAGGGAAAAAGACACATAGTATTTTCACCACACTTTTTATTATTTATTAATTATTCAAAACTCCATTCCTTCTCACATTATATGATATGATATGCTATGCTTAAATCTTATAAAATTTCACACAATTCTCTAATATATCTACCTCAAGGCATCATTTCATGAAAGTACTCATTAGAATTTAATTAAGAGGTAAGGAATTTTACTAAAAAAATACGATTCTAACCAATTTTCTATTCTTCATGTAAATATTCTCTTTATTATTGGATTGAGATTTTTTCTTAATATATAAAAAATATCCAAGAATACCATCTAATGAAAAAATATATATATATAGATACAACTTTCATAGTTATAACTTTCAAACATTGTAATATGTAATATTGTTTATGAAAATATAAGTATTTAATAACAAAAGAATTCTTTTGCAATATTGTTCATTTTCAATGAATAAAAATTTATCTATTCTTATTTAATTATTGATTAATTTAATTAATATGTACTGAAAATCATATTAAATAATTATGACTACATTTTATTTGCAATAGGGAATTATAAGATAAATAAAACAATCTTCCACTCAAATTCAATAAACTTTTCAATGAATAAAACAAGTAGCTTAATAAACCGAATTAAAATTAGAAGTACAATTTAAAATTTCATTTCTCTCTTTGTAATAAAGAAATTTAAAAATTAAAATTTATGAAAGAAATTGTATTTCTTTATAAGCAAAACTTAAATAAAAAATTATTGATTAACAAAAAGAAATTCAAATAGAGTAATTGATGCGAAATTGTTCTTTAAATTAATAAATTTAAGATTTTGAAGAAAGTTTGCAACAAACCCAACAAAAACCTTACCTTAAATAAACAAAGTTATATGCAATTAATCTTCCTCATTCTATACCTATATTAAGACTCAAACAAGAACTATAAAACCCAACAAAGTTTATCAATCATTTAAAGAATTTACAAGTTCAATAAAGAACTTAGTATGAGAATCGTGTAACCACAAGAAAAATAAACACAATATATAACAACTTGTAGATAAAGTTTATCAACTTAATGAAAATCTCTTTGCAGTAAAAAAATTATAAATTTAAATTTTATGAAAGAAATTGTCTTTCTTTATAAGCAAAACTTAAATGAAAAATTATTGATTAACCAAAAAAATGAAATCAAATAGAGTAGTTTAAGTAAAATTGTCCTTTAGAATAGTAATTTGAGGTTTTGAAGAAAATTTGTAACTTGAACTAACAAGAACCATGTCTTAAAGAACCAAAGTTATATGTAATTGATCATCCTTACTCTACACCTATACTGAGACACGAACAAGAAAAAAAAATCATAACGAAGTTCATCAATCCTTGGAAGAGTTTGCAAATTCAATCAAGAATTGAGTATGATAATCAATCAACTATAGAAGAGAAATAAGCACATAGTATACGATAACTTGTAGATAAAGTTCTTCAACTTAATGAAAATCTCTTTGTAATAAAGAAACTATAAATTTAAATTTTATAAAAGAAATTATATTTCTTTATAAGCAAAACTTAAATGAAAAATTATTGATTAACAAAAAAAAATCAAAATAGAGTAATTGATACATAATTGTCCTTTAGATTAATAAATTTAAGGTTTTGAAGAAAGTTTGTAACTTGACCTAATAAGAATTTTGCTTTGAAAAACCCAAAGTTATATGCAATTGATCAACCTCACACTACACCTATATCTAAACATGAACGAAAAGTACAAATCATAATAAAGTTGATCAATTCTTCATAGAGTTTGCAAGTTCAATCAAGAAATTAATATGAAATCACTCAACCACATAAGAAAAATAAGCACATAATATGCAGGAACTTGTAGATAAAAATTATCAACTTAATAAAAATCCTTACACGGGAATATTTATATATATAAACCCTAAAACTAATGGGTTAGACATGCAACAAATTTAAATAAATTTCAAACTAATTAAAATAAAGTTTTAAAAATAAAATAATATAAGATTATTTTTCATGCTTTGCCATAAATGATAATGAAAAAATACCCCAGATAAATAATTATTGAAGAATCTTTGCTGAACAAAAGCTTGATACTTTGTAAATAAGAATTAATTTCTAACTACTTAATTGTTCTTGTTTAATATAAAATCCTTGTAAAATAAGTAAGTCAAAGGCTGCTACATAAGTTCTTAGTAACATTAATAACTCCTTATAGTAAATGGAATCCACAACTCTCGAGGAAACAATGTCTTTTTTTGTTTTTACACTTTGCTGGCAGATTCTAGACCCAACTTCAAACATGTTTTACTCTCTCATCCGGCTAAATTAGCGAACCTACCATATCTAATTGGAAATGTACAAATGTCTAGTTTTCAACATAATTGAAACTCCAAATACAACTTCATATATGATATGAAAGTAAACAAAGGTCTAGACTGATAGATTTAAGCTTTTTTAACCCAAATCCCTTTACTTAACCCATTGAACTCATTTTGGATCCACTTCATTTTAGACCTTAGAATAAACTTGATAGACACTCCTAAGGTCTTTTGATGTTGTATCCAGGATCGCATCATTCCTTATCTCCTCAAATGATTCAACCTTGAATGATATACATCAAATAAAGAAAGATAAGAAACTTTGAATATAACACTAACATTATACTTATCCTATAGATTCACTTTATAGGCATTCTTTTCTTTAAGGAATCTCAATAAATTGTATTCTTTAAGCATTAAATTTGATTTTCAATATCTAGAAAATCTCTTTTCTACTTATATACATTGATTAGTACTTAAAAGTGCATTTTCATCATGGTTTTATATCATCATTTTGCACTTGAAGTATCAATAACTCCTTAACTAAAATATGTTTTATAATAATGTATCTAATAATATAAGATACCTATAATTTATGGTAAATGTCTATTTTTAATGCAGATAATAAGAGTTTATACTATACTTGTTTGACATACCATTAGTGGATCCTCTAACCTTGATATTTATTATTATCATTGTTTAATTCTTACGTTAATCTTCCATCTCAAAGTTCTCATCAACTTCTTCTTCTTCTTCTTTTACTACTACTACTACTAGTAGTATTGTTATTGTTATTGTTATTGTTATTGTTGTTGTTGTTGTTGTTGTTGTTTATAATTTATACAATTAACCTCCATGTGGTTTGACCCTAGTCTTGTCGGGTTATTTATTACTTCGACACTTATGCACTTGGAAGAAGACATCAAAATTTTGATAATGTCAAAGCTTTAAATGCTAGCCTAATGAAAAGAAAAGAAAAGACAAACAAAAGAAGGAAGTGTATGTTTGTTTTTGCATCCAAAAAACATTTTTAAAATTTTATTTTAAATTAATATTTTTTTTATAATTTTGGATTGTCAAACATGAAATAAAAAAAAAACTAAAAAAAGTTATAGATTATAAACACACAATGAGACTTTTAGAATAAAGG